GGTGGTCAAACGGGCATCTTTTTTCTTGCACAAGCCTCATCATGATCACACCAAAATCTACTTTCTTTAAGATCCTTCAATACAAGGAGAAACCACCTTCAAATCATTGCGGAAACTTTATGAACGTCGAAAATGGGTTACTCGATTAAAATTAAGCCCTTGAAAGAAATTTCTTTCGCCGTCTAGTTCGGCCATTTTTAGTAGGTTAGCCTTATAACTTCCCTGTGGAAGGAGGAAACTTCTCGTGCATCCTTCTTTTTGTACTTTTTAGGAACTTTGTAACTTATGTAAATATGTCATATATTTTTTAACGCCTTTGCTACAGAAATTATGTGCATAACCAGCGAATTTGTTGACTTAACTAGTTTATAGATATGTGTGATGATATTCACGCAATTCTGCAACGAAACTGAGCGCTTTTTGAAATTTTGTTACATTTCTCCGGTTTTCGACAGTCAGACGAAATCATTGTATAATACTTATTGTCGATTATGCTTATACTGCAACGTGACAGAAGTCGACCAAGGATTATTAATCTCACCTTGTTAACGCTTAGAATTCAGAGAGGGATGAAAGAAATCTAATTAAAATTGAAAGTGTCGACAGCTGATGAACATGTTTCAGGGTTTCTTTGTAAACTTGAGCCTTAGCCCAAAACAATAGGAGTTGACAGCTTACGTAATTATAATTCCCACAAATACTCCACGAATGGGCCGTTCAACGGCGCTTTTGCATTAAAATCGACCCTTTAGCTTGTTATAATTTTAGCAAAAACTGCGATTTCTCCAATTTTTCGCAATTTTTGCAGAAATCGCAGTTTTAGCTGGACACCCTTGTACCTCCTGTAACACTTGACTTAATTAATTTTAGCAAAAACTGCAATTTCTCCAATTATTCGCAATTTTTGGAGAAATCTCAGAAATTGTAGAAATCACAGTTTTTGCTGGACACTCTTGTTCCTCCTTTACCACCTGAATTTAGTAATTTTCATAAAAACTGCGATTTCTCCAATTTTTTCGCAATTTTGCTACTGCGTGCAAACTTGGACATTTATCTGTAACAAACATTTTAGGCATTAGGAGTTTGGTCACCGGCTCCTATATTAACCATTAGGACTAAAAGACAGTTATGCCTGCCGTACGCCTTGTCCAAGGAAGTAACAGTTTAATTCTGTAATTTAACCATATGGCTTTTCCAGCACATGAAACTTAGCACAAAGACTGTTACTTATAAGGTTTAAAATTGGCAATGATAAAAAAGACTTTAAAATACGTATTACCCACAACTGTTTGTTTTTACTGATTTGTACTGGAGCCATAATCAGATAGAAATCGCAAGGGCCGAGTCCACGCGGTTCCATGGCTCAGTGCGCTATTTTAAGCATATCTGTTATTAAATATATATTATCCGTATTTTTAAACCCACATAAGAAGAGAAATCCACAACAGCTTTGCTACCTTCAAGCGTTGCTATTTTCATTAAAGAAAAAAATCTTCTATTTATTTTCACTATCTCCTCGCAGCTTTTTGGGCTGTATTATCTAAACATTTCCTTCGTTATTTCTTACATTTTTCTTGACCTCGAAAACTAACGGAAAACGCAGCAATATCTCAGATAGTGATATGTACACGATGTATCTCTTGATGCGGCTTAAAAAATCATGAAGAAGAATAAAAGGAATAAAATATTTATGCATGGCATTATACTCAGAAATGCATGGGATGACTGTGTAGTTGTTTGTAGGCTCGTCTCTTTCTTCAGTGCCAGTAAAAAAGCACAAACATCTTCATCAACTACTGAACTAATAGACCTTTACAAAGGTTAACACCGCCATTTGCCGGGGTGCAAAACTACTGGGGCGAGCGCGCGGCCAAACAATAAAATGCAAATGGCTGACTCATCGAGTTGCAATTACCTGCGAAGAAATATCGAAATATCTTAATCTAGGATCAAAACACGTGTACTGAAACTGTTAGTTTGAAATCCTTTTCTATTTCTGCCGCTACCACTCCGGTAGAGCGGCCACAAAATTATTTGTGATGCCTCGACAAGCAGAGGAAGTTCTTGAATACGACGACTTCCTCGGTTGGACTGTTTCCTCGTTAAAGGATTTTTTTTCGCTACAGGGGACTCAAGCAAACGGGCAGAAAGTCTGAGCTGATCGCTAGAGCGTTTGAGCCTACGAACTCAATGTGCCTGTGAAGTTTTCCCAGGAGCAAATTTATCAGCAGATAAAAGACGAATATTCAAGGAGGCTGACTAAAAATGAAATTAAGAGTGATCCAAACATGTTACCGAGTGACGCTTGGATTGACGACGTAAAGGAATGGCCAGAGGTCGATGATGGCAAATTGTTCAGTTATATTTTGAGGACTAAAGCCGTAGATGTCGACTATATTGGAAAATACAAGGATCAGAAGGCCTATTCTTATTGGATGAGTGGCTTTGTAGACACAGTGTTCTTTGCTAAATGCCCAATTAACAGCAAGCATGTGTTCTTGAAAGGCTCTGTATCCCCCGTCACAAAAATTCGTGATGACCCGCATAAGGTCTGGGTTTGTTTAGAGGGCACAAAAAAGTGAATGCAAAATCTTAACCTCTTGGTGTACATGTACAGCAGGTACTGGTGAAGTTTGCAATCATGTTATAGCTTTGCTATATAAAGTAAATTTTGCACACAAGAAAGCTTACATATCTCCTGCATGTACAAGCGTTCCACAAGGATGGAACAAAGGAACTAGAAAGGATGTAGCTCCAACTCAAATAAAAAACCTTGTCTTTCGTAAAGACAAAAAAGACTCGGGAGGACAGTCCCAAAGAACAGGCAGCCAATTTAACTTTAAAGAACAACTTTGACCCACGAAAGCCCCAGGATAGGCAGCTGACCAATGAAAGGGTGTCAGCTCTTATCAATGGAGTAATTGAGAATGTCCCATCTGCTTGTTTACTTCACTCTATCGAGCACACTAAAGATGACGGCCTACCCGAACCTCTTCCTCAGAGAGCCCTTAGCTTCATGTCATCCCAAGAAATGAAAGGAAAACCATTGGAACATACCACTCCACTCTTTTAAAAAGAATGTCAGATGACGAGTGACCAAGTGAAAAGGGTGGAAACTGAAACTCGTGGCCAGAGTAACAATGACTCTTGGCATCAACAAAGAGTTGGAGAGTGACTGCATCAAATTTTCACAAATTTCACACAAGGCTCAAACAATCATCAACAGAAAAAGTGACAATGACAAAAACCCATTTACAGTTCAATGGTGTCAAGCCTGTTGAATAAAAGTGATGATGTCTCACATATGCCACAGATAAAGTGGGGGAATGCCCATGAAAAGGATGCCATAAAATCATTCATGTCAGATGTGGCCTCTCAACATGATGGTGGCCTACAGGGCTTTAGACAGTGTGGATTGTTCATCAAACCTGATTACCCTTCCTTGCGGGTTCCCGGACGGCCTGTTTTTTGCCATTGTTGTGGTCTGGCAACACTGGAAGCAAAATGTCCCTACAGTGTGAGAAATGAAAATATTCATGAAAAAAAAGACATTTGACCGTGTGGAATTTCTTGAAGATTTTAATGGAAAGCCCCTTAAAACGCTCGCACAAATATTACACCCAAATGCAAGCTCAGATGTGGGTTTGTGGTGCCAATCATGGCTTCTTTATTGTTTGGACTCTGGGCGGCCAACCATTGTATGAACAGTAGAACTTGACTTGGAATTTTGTCTGAAAGTTGTGAACAATATCACTCTCTTTTACAAATCTTTTGTGTTACCTTGCCTGTTAGGATACAGGGACATTTTTGAGTGCCCCAAGTGTGACAAGGTTATTTTTGGAGAGTGATGAAATAAGTGATTCTGCAAACGAAAACAGTGTATGCTGTGACCGCTGCAGCACTTGGTGGCATTTGCCATGTGCTGAACTCAGTGTGAATTCTGCAGATGCACTCGACTCTTGGATTTGCCAGAGCTGCCTGGCTGATGCAGCAAACATACATGATGCTGGGGATGATGAACTTGACTTGAACTTACCTGAGGAAGAAGAACAAACTGATAACTCAAACACTGTAAATCATGTCTGCCCAGTTTGTTGTCTTAAGAGTATCCCTGTGAATGGAGAACATGTTTGCACAGTCTGTAAAAAGCTGTCCATGCTTGGTGCAGTAACCATGAGGACATAACAAGTTCTGCAGACCTAATTTGTAATTACTGCATTTCAGATTAATACATGTACTGTACATTGAATTTTAATTACTGTTCACAAGGAGAAGTTTCACCACATGGTCACATACAGCTGTAACTAATCCCAAACATCAAATCGACAAAATCATAGATTCACAAGGTGTTAAGAACTTTAATACACCAGTCCAAGAAGTACATGTATAACCTACAAAATGTTTTAATTGCATCATGTAATATTTTTCTACATGTAGAAAGAATTTAAGAATGTTGGATGCATTTTCATTTCTACTAAGTTAGACATGGAGAAAAGTCAGAGTTATTTACACCTTTCTATATATTTTTATAGCCACTTATTGTTTAGTATTGTTTTGTTGATGCATTTTTTTATGAAATGTTATGAAAATGTTGTATGAACATTCCTGTTGCTACGGTTAATTACGCACATTTCTAATAGCAAATTTCAATTCCTTAATCAATTTAACATTATGTAAATACAACTTGATTTGAAATATACCGGTATTTCATGATAATTTAAACAAAATTGTTTTGCACAAAAAGTAACATTTCATTCACTCATGGAAGGACCTCCATTCAAAGAAAGCCAAGTTCATTAGATAGCTTTTGTGGGGACTGTTCAATCTGAAATAGAAAATGCAAGGTATTGCTCTTATGCCTTGAAATACACAATGATGTCATCTATGTACAGTGTAGTAGTAGTTTCACATTTCATTGACATGTTAACAGTTCTCAAATGAATCTGCCCAGTCTCTAAACTGAATATGTGGTCACCTTGGCATATTTGTAAATAAAAATATCAAACACAGAGTGGTGGAAGCAAATTGCACAATGCACAGCAGACACGAACAATATCATCAGCCAGGGGAAGCAGGGTAATAGGCAGTTCATTTTTCAGAATAAGAAAAACTTTGAGCCGTCCAATAGCTTGTTCAACATAAATTCTGACATTTGCAATGTTTGATGTCTCTCTGACATCACGTGGTAGCATTGCATAGATGATGCACAACTAGGTGGAATGCATAATGTTGCCATGTGCATCATCAAGTCCTCTCGGATTTTTAAAACCTCTGTCTGCCATGACTTCATCGTAAGGCTCAATCATTTTAAAAACCCACTATTCCTTACAATAAAAATATCAGATGCCCTGCCTCCATAACATGGTGAAACATATGAAATTGCTCCATTTGGGGTGATGGCAACAAGGACTTTGAAAGTGTAGTGGTGCTTGTACTCACTCCATAGTGTTGCTGCCAGGTCAAGTCCACTTGGAGTTTCTGTGAAGCACTCAAAACAGTCAATTACATCTTACTTTGGGATAAAGCTTTTTAAAACAGTATGGGAGGGTTTTTTTCTTGATCTGTTGTCGACTAGGCCACACAATTAAAACGGAGAGTTCCTTGGACATGAGCTTAACCCAAGTTATAAAAACACTACTGACAGTGGAAGCTGACACATGGAACCTGAACCCCAAATCAAAAGTTAGAAGAGCTAGTCTTAGTTTCATAAGAGTCAGTAAAAACTCCTGTTCAAGTCGAAGCTTCCTCTCTGGCCCAGGTCTTCCTTTGAGATAGCCAGTTGCTAACTCAAAAGGAGAGGGAGGTTGAGACGATTCTTTTCTTGTTTGTTTTCCACCCTCAATATTGCATAAACCGAGCCTTTGGGCTCAAATAATCGAACAAGAACTCGAATGCTTTCGGTGATGGCAGACCTGTGTAGACTTTTACTTCCATTTCTCTTGTCAACTGTTCGAATTGCATTGGAACTGAAACGGGTAATCTGCATCTGCTTCCATTTCTTCATCATCACTATCACTCTCCTCAGGATCCTGCTTTGACTCCTTGGAGCTAGGGAACAGGCTTCTTGCAGAACCAGCTTCTTGTAACTTGTTCGCTTTCCTTTTCTTGGGTGATTTTTTCTGCAGGTAATCCGAAACAGTCATAAAAAATAGACGGAAAATCCGTTTTAGGGTTTTCAGGAGTTCTTCGTCCACATGGGAAATGATTTGAACACACGAAAGTCCCACTAGCACCAGGGAAGGATTGAAGGGATCACTTCGAGTCTTCGCCACTTGTTTTCGCCATATTTCGGCAAGTTTAGGGTCGGTTGGCCACTTGTGATATACTAAATTCTCCACATGTGATCTGACAAAAGCAAGGTCAGGATATCTTTTATCATTATCGCAAAAAACCTACCGCACAACGAGCGTGTTTGGCATGTTAACAGATTATTCAGCCGTGTCGCCATTTGCATTTCATGCTCGGCCGCGCGCTCGCCCCAGTAGTTTTGCACCCCCGGCAAAATGGCGGTGTTAACCTTGAAAAGGTCTATTGCAATTGCCATTATTTTTTGTCACTGGTGGCGGTAATTTTCCACCCTCCTTTCCCTTATTTCCCTGATTTCCCCGACATCTCCGACATCTCTTCGTCATCAAGCACTTTCACTACAATGTTTACAACTAGTAATAGTTGACACTACAGCTGCCTCCGTTCTGTATATTGTCGGTCAATAGTATTCTTGCCTGTTGTGTAGCTCTTTGAAATATACCGATTCATAATGAAGATTTTCATACATATTCCATACAATAGGTGAGATAAATAAAGGAAACGCAAGGCTCCAAGCACAGTTTCAGCTCGATTTACACAGCTTTGATCAAAACATTCCCAGTTTCGAGAATAGTTTATTCTAAACCATAAGAAAAGATTTAATTAGCAGTTGAATTTTTCGCTATTCCTCTTTGCCTTTTTACATTCAGTTCATTTTATTTGCCGGAAAGTAAGCCTTCGAAATTAAAAGGACGTTTGATCGATTCACGCTAGCGCATTCCAGTCTTATTTGAAACTTTATAACGGAAGGACATCTGTGAGCAGGGAATAAGTCAGCACAGAATTTGATTGTCGGCGAATTTCTGTAAATGTCCATCACAGTCTGCTAGTGATAAGCTAGCCGTTGTTCACTCGTCTTGCTTGTTTGGGGTTGAGTCTTATTCCGGTGAAGGAGAGGGAAAGAGTGCCTGGCAAGGTTTCCAATATAAATCAAAGATTTGTGAACTCGTGTCTGGCAAACTCTCCAAGTGTTTATATATACACACTTAAACGCACCTTATAACCGCGCGAGTTACTTGGGTGCCTCCTCGGGATTTCGCCTCTGGGCGAGATCCCTGCGGGGGCAATAACCAGAATCACGTCCATAGTCATCACATTTATAGTCGGTTCAAACAGGGACAATGATGACAAAAGGGAATATGTTCATGTCCCTTAAAAGGGGGCAATTTCCGATGCCAGTTTGTATGCTTTGCACGGCGTTCTTGCAAAAATTATATTGCGCTCGTGTGTCACACGGGATGGTCCGATTAGTAAAATGAGACATTTGAGTATTTTGATGGAACCAACCCTATTAGTATCTTAAAGTTGCTTGTATGCTAGCCGCGCAGGTTACTCGTACGGAATCGTATGTATACGTGGTTGAACAATCCTAGTGTTTTAGTCCGGGGGTTTAGTCTTGAACATTAGCAACAAAGAGAGAAAAAAAACTTACAACTCTCTTAGTTCAGATAGATCGGAGAAGATCCCAGGTGGAAGCTGCTCAATTTTGTTGGTGGAGGGGGGCGTAAGGGTTTGCGGTGATGCGGTTTTGCGTTATTTTTGGTGCGGTTTTGCGGTAATTTTTATTTTAACTCGCGGTATTGCGGTTTCAAAACACTAAGCGGTTTGCGGTTATTACAACCTTTAAGTCGCGGTCAGGCCTGAGTCGCGGTTTTCGGTGAAAAAAACTGCCCGAAAACGGTGATAACGGCACATACCCTTTAGAACGGTCGGCGCCAATTTTGTGGTGGAGGGGGCAAGCGCGAGTTTTGCGGTGTTTTGTTTTACAGCCCATCAGGGTTCATTATACCAGCTTAGTCGCGGTTTTCGGTGAAAAAAATTTAACCCTTTAGAACGGTCTGTGGTTTTTGCAATTAAGGCCTTTTCCAGTTAATACTTAATGTGATTAACCGTTTTGGCCAATGATGCGTCGACTTCGTGAAATTCCATGCCGGATGTTAGCTCGTACAGCCGTACAGCCTCGTGTTCTCGTTGCTTTGATTCAATGCGCGACAATGGCAACTGAGGTCGTCGAGGTCGCAACTGAAAGCGAAGAGGACGTAATATACTAATAATTAATTGCGTGGCAATCTTCTATGAAGAAGGAAAGCAAGGGGAGAATTTCAGAGGAGCTGTACGTTTTAACAATCGTCTTCTCCACTGAACGTGAACTCTTTACGAGACAAGAAGGTCACAATTCCAGAAGAAACATTTATTCCGTGTGTGTTCCACAACTAGCACTGGGTCGTTCAAAGTAGTCAAAGTAATCAGTCACCCAATGTAAGACGTATAGGATCAGTGACAGAGTTTTTCAAAGTCAAAGGAGATATCAATACTCGTTCAAGTACATGACCAGCATACTTGGCATTTGGTTAGTAGTAAATAGAGTATAATAGTGTAGTACAATATATCGTTAGCGTTATGATGGTATGTTTAATACTAACGCACAATGTTATCAGAAAAAATCACAGGTCTTGCTGACGTCAGCTTTCATATTGTGGCCTACATGTACGCGCGGTTTCGGTATTCGGGAAAAAATCCGATGCAGTTTGCGGTTTTTTGGCGTGTTTCTGTGCGGTTTTGCGGTTTTCGGACCCCCCTTACGCCCCCCTCTTGGTGTGCATCACCCTGCAAAAATGAGTTAGTTACCGTATCTTCAGAAACAAATGGTTCATGAAATAAGACAGCCTCATCAAAACCCATTTTAAATTTGGGTTCTATTTAATAAAACGTTTAATTTACAAATGTAGCCATTGTTTTTGAGTCTGAAAACGATAGCTACACTTGTAAATTACACTATTCGCTTCAGGAGTTTTATCAAATTGACCCCTGGTCATTACTTGTAGCTGACCTCTGTATGTACCGGAACATGGTCACACCGACCATTAAAGAAAACTAAATTATTGATGCTCTATATACTATTTTACATCTCACCTAGGCCTATTACTTTCTCGCCCTCTGGTAAGCTACAATCTCAGACAAAAACCTTGAAACACTTTGGAAAATTCTGCTTCCTTTGTTCCCCCCCTCCTCTTCCCTTTTGCATGTTGTTGTAGCCACGTAACATTGTAATCACATCTTAACATTGCAGAGGGAAAGGCACGTGCATAGGTGTTTCAAGGACTTTTGGCGAGGATTGTAAATACGTTATAATTTTAGTATAACATAATGCATGACTGACACGATAAATATCAAAAACGACAAAAATAGTATCGTTCGTTAACACAATTCTTTGCCACAATGCCTTTATAGGATATGCTGGGAATAACATGTCATTAATTAACAACACAATCTTTTAATAAGGCAAGAAGCAAGTGTCCATTGTCCGCATTAACGGTTGTCCGTATTAAGCGTGTTAGGTTTAGACAAAATGTGAGGTCTTTACCCAGGGACAAGGGAAACTGTCAATAATAATTAACAAGGTCTCCCTGTTAAGTGGCTGCCCGTAAAGAGGGGTTCAATAAAATTACGGTAGCTGGTAAAGATCGAGGTTGTTGCATTGTGGGAGCCTTTGTTAAAAATTAAATTCTAATAAACGAGCTAATATTCTACTTTGGCGACCGGACACTTTGGAATTTAGAAAACACCATGTATTTTGTTGTTCAGTCATACTCCGGCCGACCCTCTTGGTGAAGCAACCATCGGAGGCACATGTGCCTCTGTTCAAACCTTTGTCCCTTATTAGGGTTTCACTGCGAGCGGCTTTCTCGACCCACATAAACAGTGCTATGTACTCACAAAAGGGTTGTGTGGTATAAGACTGGCTGATTTTGGAAAACGGAGCTATTCAGGATTTCACTCATGAAACTTGGCGCTTCTGCATTGCTATCTAAGCTAGGATAGCCTTTTACACAGAAAAATTATGCATTAACGCAAAGATTACAAGCGTATTTGCCCCAAATCTTTGAAATACGCAAGGAAGAATTACTTCAAAATCTAGGCGAAAATTGCTGCTAGCCACGGAAGCTAAACGAAGGACTGTTTCTGGAAAACGTTCACTAATTGACATTTAGTGTCTCTTGTGACTTAAAAGGTGACATAAAGAGCAAACGAATAATTGAAAAAGCAGCTTCCGAAGAGATGTGTGCGACACCTAAAATTGCGAAATGTGTTCTTCAGTTACATGTAATAATTGGCTGAGTGTGATTTCAAATCACCGTAAGCTTACTTGTATAAAGTGATTTTGTAGCTTTAAGTTCGTCATGTTGGCCCGTCTTCTCCTTCGCGAGCATTTTCATATTTTAGGACCGTATTTTTTACCGCATACAAAGACTGTAATTTTACTGGATTCGTACTGTGGTATTGTCAAAAGACTGGGCTTTTTTCTCCTGGGTTCCCAAACTACCTAGAAAGTGTGAGAGTAATGATTGGTTTCCCTGTGGTGCGGACTCACGGTCGTTCGTTCGGTCGGTGTACGGTCAAGCGATTACAAAATGTTTCTGGAATGGGTAGATTTGCTTACCCACGGTGCTCTACAGGCGTGCCTGAGAGCTCCGCTATAATTAAAAAATAATTATCTGCATGACCCACTGCCTCGAATGAAAATAGGTTGACATAGCCATACTACATAGAAAATTAGGCTACTTATTAAATCTTGATCAGTGCTGCGTGACTAAAGAGTGCCTTCTTTTCTTGTCTTTAAAATTAACTTGTGAGAGACTTGGGAACAGACTGAAGTATTTTCTTAAATGCATATTAGATACATCTGTGCTTGGCACTTTTATGTTAACTCTCCCGCTTTATGTACCTTGTATGCCAAGCCATGTAGGTTCCTTTACGGACTCTTATATACATATGGTTGCTTGCGTAATATAGTGGTTTTAATCTCGATAATAAGCAACAAACAATTAAGAAAATACAAACTTACAATATCTGTAGCTTAGATAGATTGTAAAAATATCCCAAATGGCAGCTGTTCAATTTGGTTGTTGTACAGCCACCTGCAAGAATAAGGTTAAGGTTAAGTAAAAATTATCAGTGAAAGACGACCTCATCCTTGTTTATTTATTTATTATTTGTTTGTTTCTCGTTGAGCTATGCTATAAACACTATTTTGCATGCACCTACTTGCATTGTTTCCCGCCCTCTGGTAAGCGAGATT